GGGGGGGCAAACAGAATACATTTCCATTCTCTTATCTTACATCCTAATTGGGGAAGGTTCACAGCCAGATGGTGCAGAGGGGACTGGGGCAGGAGCCCATGGAGGATATGGGAGCTATGTACTCACAGCAAGGAGCACCCTGCTTGTCTCCACCCAGTACCTCCACTGCGCCAGCTCTTCACAGCATCCTGCTTGCTTGCTCCATGTTCATTCAGCCCTAAGAGCACACAGTTGTCTGGACGCTGAGCTCTTGTGGTTAACAACATGTGATTGTGGTACGTAGCTTCCAAGAAGCATTTGAGATTCTGTTTAGGTTTTCAAAGAAGCGTGCGAGCATTACTGTTGGGGTAACAAATCCAGCTTCTGCAAGAGGCAGAGTGACTATGTGCCCATTAGATGCCATGGGAGGGAGTCCAGGGAGGTGCTGGTGTTTTGGCCTCTCTTTTTCCAGTGCCTGGAGGGGATGGGCCCCCATCCCTCAAATGGAAACACTGTAATACTGACAATTGGGATGCTGTCAAGGATTGGTCAGAAGGCACCTAGGTGTAAGATTATCCCTCACATTAGCCTGTTGCTTAGTGGATGTGACATGTGCCTGCACTCCTTGAGTGGAGCTGTGTGCCCTCAGCTTCAGTCCCTGCTTAGCCCACCGGAAACCATCTCTTGAAATCAGAAAACTTCTGCCACATGGTGGCAGCATCCCCAAGAAAGGGTTTGTGTTGAATTCTGAAACTGTCACTTTGGGTCATCTCCCTGCAGGAGGCTGGTCCCAGAGGCAGAGGGAGTGAGAGCTAGCAGTGGTCCACCTAGGACAAGGACTAGGGCACAAGGGAGGCCCTGTTTCAGGAAGCGTCTCAGTAGAGGCTGTGTGGCCACAGAGGGCCGAAGCAGGATTGCCAGCCTGGAGGCGCCAATGGCAGGAACGGCCACCCCTCCCTCCTCCAGGCAGACTCTGCAGAGTCCCTAGAGCCAGGCAGTTCTGAGCCTGGGCACTTCAGTCTTTCTTCCCAGTCTAACCTAAAGTTGCACTTTCCCTCTTGAAATTTCAGTTTTTTCCTTCTTGTTCTCATGTCCCCATCAGGATGCACACACACGTGCACTTAATGACTCCATAGCCAGCGCCCCTTCCTGTTGGCAGCACTGTGTGGGATGGAGCTGGATGAGACTGTGGAAAACTGTCTCCAGTACCCCATTGTTTTGTTTCCATGATCCCATCCGCTCCTGATCTTGTGCCACTGGTCCTGCTAAATACCAAGCCCTAACCTTGCAGGTCTGTGTTTTCCTTTTGGTTCCCTTTCTGTTTTTCAAGAACATTATGTGTATAAATAAAATGCTGAGGGAAACGAAAGTAAAGTGGCAAGAAGGTGTGTGGTTTTGGGTGTTTTTTT